AAAAAAAAAAAAAAAGGAAAAAAAAAAAAAAACAGTTCTTGGGTGTTTGGGAGTTGGCGAGTGACTTTAAGATGACTTGATAACCACTCTGTGTTTTTAAAAAGGTTCTGTTCTAAAAGTAATCACCGTAAAGCTGCAAAACCCACCGCGTTACCAAGTTAGTCGCCAGAGTTAGCGATCGCTACTTGTGTCTTAGGAATGGAGGTCACTTAATCTTTCGCTGAACTTGAAGTATTACAGGGTCATGTGCCGGGCAGAACTTGTGATGTACAACAACCTCATTTTTTCTTTTCTTTTTCACTACTGGGATTGAACCCACAGCCTTGCACATGCTAGGCAAGTGCTCTACCTCTGAGCTACACTCCCAGCCCTTTTTAAAAAAAAAAAATTATTTTGAGACAGGATCTAAGTTTTCTAGCCTTGAACTTGGCAATTTTCCTGCTTCAGCCTCCTGCCCAGCTGGGGTTGGTAGAGGTGTGCGCCATCTCCCCGAGCTTACGGGGGTAAATCCTAAGAGGATATGATGTGTTGGAATTTCAGACCCTGATCAGAAATTTTTTAGTACAGACTGAGCACCCCTTATCCAAAACGCCTAGGGGCCAGAAGTGCTTCACATTGCAAAGTTTTTCTGGTTTTGGAATATGTGAATAGACTTTCCCGATTGATCATCCTCTAATGTGAAAACCCAGAGTACTCAGAAATCTGACGCTTTTTGAGTGCCCCGATGCTCAGAAGGCCTAACTTCAAATATTTGCATAAGGGAGGCTCTCCTGACAGTTTCTGTGGCTTGGTTTTGAAATTCCAGTGGGTCAGTGTATTAGTGTGCAGCATCTGAATTTTAGGTTGTGCTCCTCAAACAGAAAAAACTCTCAACCATCCTGTTCCCAAGTGAGCCTCCACGCCTCTGCCCACGGATTATGTCCCTTCGGGGTCTGCTTCCTGCGGGTGGTGCTTCCCCTGTGGCAGAGAACACTGGTGTGGCCGAGGGCCACAGGAACATGGGAGACAGCAGGTGGCCTGGGGGCACCTGAGAGCACGGCTGTCCTCACACTGTGAAGCCCTTTCCCCACGCTCCTCTGGGGCCATCTGTTCACGGGGTGAGGTGTTTGTGAGTCACTAAGGATGGATTCAGGTGACACAGCACATGCTGACAGCACTCACGGGTGACCCACCTGCCACAAGCTTTAGTGGCTTCAGGGCTTTTGTGGGGTTTTTTGTCTTGATGTTTTTTAGATGAAAATTTAAAAGCAGTTCCCCCGAAACATGAATACTGACATGTGTTTGTGTCTCCAGAAGCAGGCACTGGGCTGGCAGGAATGAGCCAGCCGGCCACCTCCCGGCCTGCTTTGTTAGGGGCTGCCTGTGTCTTCTGGGACCTTTAGGGGTGTGACTGTGTGTGTGTGTGTGTGTGCGTGTGCGCGCGCGAGTTTTCATGTAGCAATAATGGAAGTCAGGACCTCTTATTCCGGTGGAAAACCTGCTGTGAGAAGGAGTCACACGAGCACTTTATTTTAATCTCGTTTCAAGTTCACGTCCAACACCAGCCCTGGATTCCTCGCCACGGCTGCCTGGCTGGGCTCCGTCCCTCTAGATTTCTGGCTGCATCTGCCAAAGAGAGGCTGGGATATTCTTGAGCAGAAAGCGGGGGTCAGTCTGCACGGCTGCCACCAGAAAGTGGGTGTTTTGTGGTAACACACTGGAGTCTTTGGGGCTCCAGCCCTCGGCATGCGCATTGCTGGACACCGGAAGTCAAATCATGTGCCTCTGCAGGCAGAGCACTGCTCTCAGTCTCCGTACCAAGCCGGGTGCCAGGCCCTGTCTCCACTGCCCCAGACAGGGCGGCGGTGAAGCCCCGGAGCCGCAGGGCTCTGCTGATCCTAGAAGGTGGCCTGCTGTCACCAAGGCTGTCCCCGGTGCTGTGTCAGACCCACCTTAGAAGAAAGTGCAGCTCCCCAGGGGTAGAGAGGCATGGTGCGGGCGGCGTGGGCATCGGACTCCGCGGACGACTGCAGCTTCAGCAGCACTTTATAGACACAGGGTCGACCCAGTGCGGGCCCGCCGGGTCCTGCTGCAGGGTGCACGGCTGCGGTGGCAGTGGCCTGTGGAAGAAATAAATGTGCACATGGAACCCAGCGCACGGAGTGGTTTGTGCCGATCCCTGCGTGACCGGGAGACCCTCGGGGGATCGAGGGTCTCTGAGCCAGCGTCTTTCTTGGTCCCGGCATGGGGCTCAGGATCACAGTCAGCGCACCTATGAGCAGGGCAGGCGGGAACTACCGTCCGTTCAGCCTTAGCTCTCAGCAAGACTTTCCTCCTAGCATTTTTCCATCACTCAGGATGAACACACATCCTGTGAACTCAGCTACTTCCTCAACTCTTTTTACTTTTTATTTTAAGGCAGGGTCTCACCATGTCGCTCAGGCAGGGCTTAGACTTGCAGTTCTGCTTCTGTCTCCTGGGATGACAGGCGTGTGCTAAAATCATACACTTAGCTGAGTGTGGTAGCACACGCCTTTCATTCCAGCACTCGGGAGGCTGAGGCAGGAGGATCGCTGAGCGGTCAAGACCAGCAAGAGCTACAAAGTGAGTTCAAGGCCAGCTTGAACTGCATAGCAAGACTCTGCCTCAAAAAGACAAACAAATAAAACTTAGCAAGATGGGCCCCCTCAGGTGGTGCTGAATTGTGGACACTCATGCCAGGGACTCTCTGGGCCTCGGTCCCCCAGTGGCAGAGCCTGGTACATGTTTTGGGGGACACATTTGGGGAGTAACGTGCAGGGTAGGGTGAAGGGTACACGGGGGTGTGGCTCAGGCTGCCCACCTAGACAGGGACCCATCTGACTGCGAGGGCATGGGGTGCGGGCAGGGATGTGGCCGCCTTTCCAAGGGCACCTGCTGTCCATGCCTGCCCTGGCGCGTGGTCCAGGCAGGAAGAGCCCAGCTGGGCCACGGGTATGAGAGCGCTCTGGGTGGCCGCGGGGCTGAGCATGGTCACGGAGCTGCTGAGGGTGAGCTTGTCCTCTGGCCAGCTTTCCAACCTGACCTGCTGCCGCTCCCCTCAGGCGCACCGTGGGTTCTGGCCAAGCTGTCTGCACTGCCCGGATTGATCCACCTTTATCTCCCTGCCTGAGTCAAGTGCAGAGATCGAAGATGGGGCCTGCCATGGTCATTTCTGTACTTCAGGGCTGCCAGCAAGAATACCATAAAGTCGGGGGCTGGGGATTTAGCTCAGCGGCAAAAGTGCCTGCCTGGCAAGCACAAGGTCATGAGTTTGGTTCCCGGTTCCGGAGAAAAACCAAAAAAACAAAACAAAACAAAACAAAAAAGAATACCATAAAGTCAGATTCCACGTTCTGCACACAGTAAGAATTAATTTATTTCCTAATGATCATCTCCTCTCTTTTAGGCGGGGGAGACAGGGTCTCGCTATGCAGTTCAGGCTGGCCTTGCGCTCACTTTGCAGCCCAGGCTGGGTCCTGAACTGTGTTAATTGATAAACACAGCGCTGCAGCCATGAATGGCCTCTGTCCAGGGAGGGCGGTGTTTGCAGATGCAAGGGTAATGAAAGCCCGTTCGCTTTAAAAACATAATCAGTCGCTTCTCAGTCTTTTGGCTAAGATCAAGTGTAAAAACATAATCAAGTCATTTTTAAAAACATTATGCCTGACAGTGCCTGCCTGACAGCGCCTGCCTGGCAAGCACAAGGTCGTGAGTTCGATTCCTGGTACCAGAAAAAAAAAAAAAAAAAAAAAAAAACCATCATGCCTGAGCCAGGCGTGGTGATGCACACCTGTAATCCCAGCACTCAGGAGGCTGAGGCAGGAGGATCATTGCCAGTTCGAGACCAGCCTGGGCTACAAAGTGAGCTCAAGTTCAGCCTGAACTGCATAGTGAGACCCTGTCTCAAAAAGACAAAAAAAAAAAAAAAAAAAAAAAATCACACCTACCCATAGCAGCACACCTGCTGCTGAGATGCACCAATTTTGCTCATCTGATGGCTGTCTCCTTACCTGTGTCTATTATCCGTCCATCGTCTGTGTGTCTGTCTGTTGGGGTTGGGATATTTCACCGGAGACCCGCTGGGATGTGCTGTCTGCAGAAGAGGCCGCTGTCACAGGCCCTTGCGACGGCCCCAGGAGTCCTCCAGTGCTGTCCTGTTACAACCCGGCCTCACACGTCACCTTCACACGGGTCCCTTTGCCCTCAGCACAACCTTCAGAGTTGGACGCTGCTTTCTGCCCATGATCTGAAGCCGGGGCATTGCACGAGTGGTTTCTGCGAGGCACATCTGATGCTTTCAGCAGCACCTTTGCCCCTGACTTTAGAATGTGCGATGTACGCCTGCCTTGGACAGGCAGCATTATTTCTGGCCCTTACTGAGGGGCTGGGGCGGCCAGGGGCTGTGAGCACTAATCCCAGCCGTGCAGTGTGTGTCAGGGCCTCAGGTCTCTTCCACTCCTGCTATAAGGGGCACTCTTACCTGTACACCACCTGCCTGGGCTTGCGGGAGCACCCAGCGGGGCACTTCTGAGTCAGAAGCCGTCACCCTGGAGTAGGGGAGGGTGGTGTTAGAGGCCTGTGGAAGGGAGCTCTTGGACAAAAACAAAACGAAGGAGATGTAGAGGGCAGGGCAGGCTGCAGGGACATGTGCCGTCCCAGCTCAGCAGGGACCAAGCGGAGAATAGGTGGACTGGCCAGAGGTCCCAGGACCCTGGCAGACCCCTGGGGGGACCATATAGCACTCCAGGCTGCTTGTCACCAATGTACACAAGGTGTCTGTGGGGGAGCCC